GCGCGTGCTCGCTCTCGCGTGCTCTCTCGCTCTCGCGTGCTCTCTCGCTCTCGCGTGCTCTCTCGCTCTCGCGTGCTCTCTCGCTCTCGCGTGCTCTCTCGCTCTCGCGTGCTCTCTCGCTCTCGCGTGCTCTCTCGCTCTCGCGTGCTCTCTCGCTCTCGCGTGCTCTCTCGCTCTCGCGTGCTCTCTCGCTCTCGCGTGCTCTCTCGCTCTCGCGTGCTCTCTCGCTCTCGCGTGCTCTCTCGCTCTCGCGTGCTCTCTCGCTCTCGCGTGCTCTCTCGCTCTCGCGTGCTCTCTCGCGTGCTCTCTCGCTCTCGCGTGCTCTCGCTCTCGCGCGCGTGCTGTTGCGCGCGCGAGGTGGCGCGCTCCAATCCGCCGCAGGTTCTGGACGTCTGCGGGCGCGTTCTTGGCCAAGGTCGCGCCGTCGTGCGGTGCGAGGATTTGCCAACCCGCGGTGGTGCCGCAAAAAAAATGCGGATGGACGGAACGCTGCCCACGGGTGAAGTTTTATTCTTCATCCCACCCGTTACAACGTGGCTCTGGACGAACATCTCGGGGGTGGCGCGGAGATGTTAACTACCTCGCCTGGTGTGCAGGTGGTCGTGGGTTCAATTTTGGCGTCTGCTGTATATTTGGAGTTTGCGTGTCTCTTCCCCTTTAGGTCGTGTTGGGTTTTTTCTCCCGGGTCCTCTCCCCCTCCTATTTAAAATCAACGTCACGCGTGTAGAGCAATTTAGCTGCTATAAATGTTCACATGGTAAGCCACTTCGTTGAGCTGTCATGTGACCAGGTCGCTTCTGAAAAAGGGGCTAAATCGCTTGGGAGGGCCTATACCTGGTAAAATAAAATGTATTAAGATGAATTTAAATATTTTCTCAGTCTCAAGCAGCGCTAACTTTGCTCGTACAGGGTCGATGCCCGGAACGTAATAAGCTGCGCTTACATTTAAGCCAGGTCTGGTCTGGGTTTGTGCGATTGTCAAATAGTTCCACATCCCCCAGTATAACACTCGCCACTAGCAGTCACCCGACTACCAGTGACCCAGTGAAATATTTTGAGAAACTACGCCGTGGCTATAAAATCAGTGTTAGTGGGTGTTTGTGGCGGTCTTATTCATTTTATTAGGAAAACGGGAATGAACTTGGCTTTTGAAGAAAGTGGCCAGGCCCCCGCCATAGAAATGTGGAATTCCCATTGACTAAGCCTCCCCCTCTCCCATCACCATGGAGATGCGTACTGCTCAGTGGGGGCTTAAAATAGTGCTTGGTGACATCATTTTGAGCGAGGGGGAGGGCGATACGGAGGTGGACTTGGGTCCATCTCTGCAGAACGCGGTGACGCTATCGTCTCGTGCGTGTTGGGGTTTTTCTCTCGGTTCGTGCGCGCGCGCGCAAAAGCCAAAACCGCTCGTGGGAAAAATAAATTGGTCGAGCGTCGCCTTCCTCAAAACTCGAAGACAATCTCGAGGCTCTTGTGGTTCAAAGGACTGACCTTGCCTTAACTCAAGACTAGAACGGGTAAGGCGTCACAAATCTCCCGATCAACCTGAAGACGCAAGCTGGTCGTCATCGCCAGCGAAACGTCGCCGGACTCCGCATTGTAAATGCTGTGGGGTCTACTCCAACACTAGCTGTACAACTAAATTGACACTTTGTTCACGTGACGAAACCCGAGTGAGTTGTTCGACGACGCCATCTCTAACCCAACACTTTATGAATAATATTGGTTGCCCAAGCCTACATGTTTTAAATTGAGATTCATGCGAGTCTCTACTCGAGAAAAGAGGTGGGGTGTGTGTGAGTGGGGGGGGGTATAAGAGGCTGCAAGAGGAGTGAGAGATACAGACACGCAAACACAGCTCACGGTCAGCTCACGGTTGTTTTGCAGAACCAAACCTCGCACAGGTGGGGTGTAAACACCGTCTCCACGCGCCCTCCCGCCCCCCACCCCGTTACAAACCCGAGAAGAACAAGGCGAGTACACGAGACTTGTCCTGTGGGTGCGATACAAGACACCTGGAGGGCACCTCCCCCCCCACCACCACATCCACCCCCTCCCATGACCTGACTCGATGTGTTGTGACTTAGCGTGATGCCCTCCCCACCCGCCCTCCCAAACAACAAAGATTTTTCGTGTAGCCTCAACAGACTTTTGGGGCAAGTGCTGCACCTATGAAGGCCGGCCACGGCACACGAGCGGGAGGGCTGCCAAACACCGCGCCCGGCCGCCTTTGTCTCCCCTAGTGGCGACGCTCACACATCGCACCAGGTGACTCATTTGAGGCCGAGTCGGCCTAGGGGAGGCCCAGGACGGGTTCAGATAATCCTCCCCGGTGTTGGCCGCGGGCGGGGAAATCGCACCCGGGTCGCCGGTTTCGTAGCGCAGCGTAGCGCTAACCACTGCACCACCACTCCCCTCCCATACCCCCCCCCACTCCTAACGTTTAAAGTGGTCATGTGACCCCCCCCCCCCCCCAGCGCGACAATGAACACAGCACGCGCCAGCAACGACGACAACAACAACAACAAAATAATTTTGGTTTCGTGTTCGTAAAAACACCATGCTCGCGCCGACACGTGTGTAATAAATGCGAGAGAGATGTTGGTTGCGTAAAAGTGACGAAGGAAGAACTTGACAGTGCGTGGGTGTTGCAGGGGGTGGGGGGGGGCGAACATGGCACTGATGCCCCCCACCACCCACCCACCCACTGAGCACACCACGGACCGGTTCGACGCCGCCGCCGCAACCCAGGTCATAGCCTACTAATCCTACTTGCCTGCGCGTGTCTATATAGGTGCAGGTGTCCACGCCACGTAACCGTACTGAGCGGCCGACGATCGCCGCGTGTCTAGGTCGAACCCTGTTGGAGAAACTCAAGAGGTGCGCCCATCACTTGGCGACCCACCAACCCCTTCGCCCACCCCCCACCCCCACCCCCCGATCTACGGGCTGGGCGAGAGCGCCCCCGTGTGTCTGGATTGGTAATGGCGCAGCCCTGCCTCGTGCTAACTTCGGACGACCAATCACCCGACGTCGAACGCCGGCTTCAACCAAAGGACAATTTTTGTTCCAGCTCCTACGCGGGGGTGGGGGGGGGGGGGGAGGAGCCCCCTCCCCCCAAGCCCCCCCCCCTCCGCAAACCCCTCTCGCCCCCCCCCCAACCGTGCAGGGCCCTTGACCCAATGCGTGGCCCCAAGCGGCCGAGTGTCCGAAGGCCTCGCTGACTCGACCGGTAAAACGCCGCACAACACGGGAATTGATTCATGGCTCACTGTGCAGACCGCTAGGGGGACCCCCCCCCCCCTCCAATCACCCCCTTACCCCCCTCCAATCACCCCCTTACCCCCCCCCCAATCACCCCCTTACCGCCCCTCCAATCACCCCCTTACCCCCCCTGCAATCACCCCCTTACCCCCCTCCAATCACCCCCTTACCCCCCCCCAATCACCCCCCTTACCGCCCCTCCAATCACCCCCTTACCCCCCCTGCAATCACCCCCTTACCCCCCCCCAATCGCCCCCTTACCCCCCCCAATCACCCCCTTACCCCCCCTCCAATCACCCTCTTACCCCCCCCCCCAATCACCCCCTTACCGCCCCTCCAATCACCCCCTTACCCCCCCTGCAATCGCCCCCCTTACCCCCCCCAATCACCCCCTTACCCCCCCCTCCAATCACCCCGTTACCCCCCCAATCACCCCCTAACCCCCCCAATCACCCCCTTACCCCCCCTGCAATCACCCCCTTACCCCCCCCAATCACCCCCTTACCCCCCCCTCCAATCACCCGGTTACCCCCCCCCCCCTCCAGTCACCCCCTTACCCCCCTCCAATCACCCCCTTACCCCCCCCCCTCAATATCACCCCCTTACCCCCCCCAATCACCCCCTTACCCCCCCAATCACCCCCTTACCCCCCTCCAATCACCCCCTTACCCCCCCTCCAATCACCGCCTTACCACCCCCTCCAATCACCCCTTCCCCCCCCTCCAATCACCCCTCACCCCCCCCCCCCAATCACCCCCCTACCCTTTCCTAAAATCTCGGGACAACAATTGATCAGCACCAAGGCCCACAGGGGAGAAGAGGGGCGTGGGGGACCTCGATAGGAGCCCCCCCCCCCTCCCGTAGGCCCCCCCAATAACCCCCCCAGCCCCAGCCCCCCTCCCACCCCTAGCCCCCCCCCCACTCCTTCTAGCAGGGAGTTCCCCGCCACCCCGAGGTGATATCCGCTCGGTGGGGTCTGCGATCCAGCGCAGACGTTAGCCCCCCCCCTCCCGCCCCCTACTCAACTATCCCCTTATCACGTGACCCAGTTTCCCACCCTCATTCCTCCCCAAAGAGATGCCCCAAAGACAAAGATCCCCCGTGTAGCCTTAACAGACTGCTGGGGCAAGTGCTGTTAGCGAGCAGCACCTGTGAAGGCCGGCACGGCACACGAGGGGGTGGGTGGCCAGCACCGCGCCCGGCCGCCTTTGTCTCCCCGGTGGCGATGTTTACGCACCACACCAGGTACTCATTTGAGGCCGAATCGACCTAGAGGAAGCCCAGGACCGATTCAGATAATCCTCCCCGGCGTTGGCCGTGAGCGGGAGTCGCAAAGAGATGCACCGCCACCACCACCGCCAACACCACGTGTGGAGTTTGGGCGCGCGATGGATGACGTGACGGTGGCCGTGCTCGATCAACTCGCGTGCACGAGCGTCGTGGACGGCGACGGCCCCCCCCCCCCCTTGACCCGTGGCGCACCGCCCCCAATCGGTTTCGCGCAGGCGACCCCTGAAGGCGGCGGCGGCGGCCACCGCCACCGCCGCCGCTGCTGCTGGCCGCGCCGTGCGGTCGCCACGACGCTGGGAATGAAAATAATCTGGAATGAATTAAAGAGCGAAAAATCGAACCCAAATTAGTGACTCGAAATTCAATTTCATTAATTGAATCCCCGGCGGTGGCAGCAGTCCCACACACCCCCCCCACCCCCCCCACCACCACCACCACCACCCCCACCACCTCTGCCGGTGCCCGCACGGCGGCCCTCAGGGCGCCAGCGGCACCAGCACCTCGACGTAGTTGACCGGGAAGAATCCCGGGCGCCCGTCGATGGCGCCCTCGAACCAGTTGTCGTCCACCTGCGACACGAGGGAGACCACGTCGCCCTCACGGAACGCCAGCTCGCCCTCGTTCTCCGCGTCAAAGTCGTACAGCGCCCGGCAGCACGGCCCCTCCAGGGGGGCTACGCGGGGGCGGAGGGGGGCAGGAGGGGGTAGCAGGAGAGCGTGGGGGGGGGGGGGGTGTGAGAGACTTGCCCGTTGTTCACTCTCACGTCCATCGTTCACTCTCACGTCCATCGTTCACTCCTCCATCGTTCACTCTCACTCTATTGTTCACTCTCACTCTATTGTTCACTCTCACTCTATTGTTCACTCTCACGTCCATCGTTCACTCTCACTCCATCGTTCACTCCTCCATCGTTCACTCTCACTCTATTGTTCACTCTCACTGCATCGTTCACTCTCACTCTATTGTTCACTCTCAATAATCGTTCACTCTCACTCGACCGTTCACTCTCACGCTCATTGTTCACTCTCACTCCATTGTCCACTCTCGCTGCATCGTTCACTCCTCCTCCATCGTTCAGTCTCACTCTATTGTTCACTCTCGCTCTCATCGTTCACTATCACGCCAACGTTCAACCTCACCCTCATCGTTCACGCTCACTGCATCGTTCACGCTCACTGCATCGTTCACTTTCACACGTCGTTCACTCAGACGCGTGTCTGCGGCCGTCTGGAACGCTCTCCCTTCCGATTATTAGGAAGTCACTGGGAGCTGTGCACCGGTTACAACTCGAAAAGACCCCAGATGGGAGTTGGCATCTTGTGAAACCCGCAGAAACGGGCACCTGCATGGGCAACAGATCACAACTCCGGTGGTCACCCTCGTAGCAGTAGCAGCAGCAGCAGCAGAGGCTTTTGGCTGGGCCATCGAACAAAGGCGGTGCTCGCCGCATCATCGCGCGGCGCTTTCAGATGCGCTCCTGCGGCCGTCTGGAAAGCTCTTCCTTACCGATGTGAGGAAGCCACTGGGAGCTGTACGGCACTTTCAAATCGTGTGGATTGACAAACTAATTTCTTCAGAACTGATGTTTTTGGTGTTTAGTTTGTAAGTCCTTCCACCCGAACCTCCGATTAGCAAGGCTGGCTACGTACGGCGCAAAAAGAGTTCAACGCGAATACATGCACGAGATGTTTCGTGGACATCTGTGAAAAAGAGCTTCATAGCTCATCGGATTCTTCCAGGATGAATAAACATTCTGATTCTGAGTGTTGCTGCATGAGCGGGTATGGGGCCAAGTCAAACCAGAAGTGTCTCTGTAGCGACACTCTAAAATGACGTAAAAATTATGATGGTGATGCCGGCCATACTGATTACAGCAGTGATTGCAATTGCAATAATGACATCGATTACAATCTCTCTCTTTTTTATTATTATCGTTACATTTCTTCACCCAGGGTAGCCTCACCGAGTCTTCGAGGCCTCTATTTCAGGAGGGTCCTATCAATGTTTTGTTTTGTTTTGAGTAGTTGTGGGGTGATGGCGATGATGTTGCTGCGTGTGATCCCAAATGGAGTGGTTTGGGGCGCCACGGTGGCTATGAGATGTTAACTATCTCGCCTGGTATGCAGGAGGCCGTGGGTTCGATCCTGACCCCGACGCCTGCTGCTGTATATTTGGAGTTTGCGTGTCTCTCTCTCTCATCATCATCACGGTGTCTAGGAGATGTTAACTACCTCGCCTGGTATGCAGGAGGTCGTGGGTTCGATCCTGACCCTGACGCCTGCTGTATATTTGGAATTTGCGTGTTTCTCTCTCTCCCCTGTGGAGTTTTCTCCGGGTGCTCCGGTTTTTTATCTCTCCACATTTATAATCAACACGCGTTCAAAGTGTGTGTCGACGTGACGATAGGCCACTTCGTTGAGCTATCATTTGTGATGGCCAGGTCACTTGTGGAAAAGAGTTACATAGCTCAGTGGGCCTTACCTGGTAAAATACAAAATAGTTTAATATATATATGAAAAAGGGAAATTTGTGATTATGTGTGTCTGTTCAAAATGTTTAGCGTACTTCCCGACATGCAACAAACTTGACATTTGCCATGTGGGTACTTTCTAGACTGTACACCATGCAAAAATTCTAAAAATATACTTTGTATTTTTTTTTTGGGGGGGGGGTTGGGCGCAATAATGCATAGATTTTGCACGGCAAGTGAGTTGTGACGTCACATCTGTCAAGTCACCCGCAAATGTGGAAGCGTAACGCATTGTAGTGTAGCGGTTAGCGCGCTGTGTGTGTGTATCTGTGTGTGTGTGTATCTGTGTGTGTCTGTGTGTGTGTCTGTGTGTATATGTGTGTGGAAGTGTAACGCATTGTAGTGTAGCGGTTAGCGCGCTGTGTGTGTATCTGTGTGTGTGTGTCTGTGTGTGTGTATCTGTGTGTGGAAGTGTA